AAGCCCTGGTTTAGGATAGACAATTCATATAGAGGAAGGAACAAATATTTACTCATCAACTGTTTTATTCAGAGTATTGATTTGAAAAATTTAAGACCTTTTGTTTCAGGATGACAGAGAGTAGGCAGTACAAAGAAAAATTATTTATCATACTTAAACATTTACATTCATTTTCCCTAAAAAGGTTTAATAAGGGAGTATTTGGGAAAGGGAGGGTGGGGGGGGGGCAGTGGTTTAAGGGTAACAATGTTATCAGGAGCAGTGATCAGTCTTTCAATGCCTTAGCGCTGCTGAGTCCCTGTAGTGACCTCTGCCAGCAAAATTTTCTTCCTCCTATCAACATGAAGGTGGCTGGAATCACCTAAGAGTTTGTGGTTCAATTCAGCTTTCTCCAAAAGAGACACAAAGAACTGATGCTCTGCTCCAGGCTTTTATGCTAAAACTTAGCAATAGGTGCTTACCAATGCTTCCCTCTTTCAAACACAAGCAAGTAACTTCTCATTTTTTCAGGTAAAATATTAAAATTCTTTCCTCAAAACAAAATGTACAGAAAACAAGTTTTATATAAACATGTTTATGACATTTATTAAGAACATAATATTTTTCTTTTGACAAGGCGGGGGGGGGGGATAGATGAGGCATTCTTTACAAATTTAGGTACATCACAATCACTAATCATGTGCTTGGCATTTTATAAAGGTAGCCTCTTTTAACACCTGACCTGTTCCCCCAAAATCTTCGAGTGGCACTATGATACTCATTTTACTGCTGAAGACACAAACTCAGAAAAGTCACAGTTGCACTCTGCTGGCATGGCTCAGTAGGTTGAGCATCCACCTATGAACCAGGAGGTCAGTTCGATTCCTAGTCAGAGCACATGTCCAGGGTGTGGACTCGATCCCCAGTGTGGGGTGTACAGGAAGCAGCTGATCAATGATTCTCTCTCATCATTGATGTTTCTATCTCACACTTCCTCTCTGAAATAAAAATATATTTAAAAAAAAGAAAAGTCACAGTTGCAAGGTAAAACAGCAACAAGAAAAACAGCAATATGGGAATCCAGTTCTATCTGAATGTACTGCACTTTGTTTTTTTGTTGTTGTTAATCCTTGCCAGAGATATTTTCCCATTGGTTTTTTTAGGGAGAGTGAAAGAGAGAGGGAAAGACAGAAACATCGATGTGAGAGAAACACATCCATTGGTTGCTTCCTGCAAGGGCCCGGGTCAGGGAGGAGCCTGCAACCAAGGTACGTGCCCTTGACCTGAATCAAATCCGGGACCCTTCAGTCCGCAGGCTGACGCTCTATCCACTGAGTCAAACTGGCTATTTTTATATTAAACAAACTAGTTGACCCTTAGTGCAGGATTGAACTGCATGGGTCTACTTACATGTGCCTTTTTCTTTCAAGAAATATAGTAAATGTATTATCCTTACAATTTTCTTAACATTTTTTACCTCTGGCTTACTTTAATAATATAGTATATAATAGATAATAATATACAAGATGTGTTAACTGACTATTGGTTATTGATAAGGCTTCCAGTCAACTGTAGACAATTAGTACTGTCTCTCTTCTGCATCCACTGATTCCTAACCCTGGATTGAAAATACTATTTTCGCCGTAGCCGGTTTGGCTCAGCAGATAGAGCGTCGGCCTGCGGACTGAAAGGTCCAAGGTTTGATTCTGGTCAAGGGCATGTACCTTGGTTGTGGGCACATCCCCAGTGGGGGGTGTGCAGGAGGCAGCTGATCAATGTTTCTCTCTCATCGATGTTTCTAACTCTCTATTCCTCTCTGTAAAAAATCAATAAAATACATTTTTTTTAAAAAAGAAAAGAAAATACTATTTTCAACCTGCAGTTGAATCAGGATGCGAAACCTGCAGATACAAAGGGCCAATTGTGGTTTTTGGGAAATCAAGTTATACACGGATTTTCTACCGCATGGGAGGTTGGCACCCCTAAACCCCACATTGTTCGAGAGTCAACTGTACATTGTTTCTCTTTGCCTTATGCTTTCTTAAATAAGCCTTATGACACGTAGGGTAGTCCATCTGAAACATGGATATGTATTAGTACATATTATCTAAAGACTCTTCAGATTTTAGAGTGAAACCAAGGGAAAAAAACAATATACCAAACCTTAGTTTGGTTTTGTACGCAGGCTTGGGACATTCTGTTATATAATATAAAATCAAATAATATTTCCTCAAAAATCCTTCTCTGCACTTATTTTTGTCACCCCTATTCTAGTCATTCAGGTTTAAAACCCTTACACTTAACGAAGGCATAACCAGGGCTTATAAATTAGTTATATAATAAGGCAATGCTAATTACATGACCAACATTTAGGAGCACAAAAGATTCCAGAATTAATTTTGTGTGTGAGGGACTTGGTGAAGGCTTTTCAGAGGAAGTATATGAACTGGCCATTGACTGAGTCCAGTTTTGCCCAGAGAAGGGAAAAGGATTCTGAATAGAGGATAAAAGTTTGAAACTATATTGCTTCTCTCCCACTGCATCCAATAAATTACCAGCTTGTCTGGTTCTTCCTTCACTATATATTTTTTACATCTGCCCCTTTTCCTCACATTATTTATTACTACCTCATAGTTGTATACTATGTATATGAAATTTCTGATTTAACAGTTTTTCTTTCCTTTGAATACTCAGATACCACTAACAGACTGACTTTTAAAAATTATCTTTTATATGACCATATAACCTTCAGATGTTTCCTATTATCTCTGAAGTATAAAGTTTGAACTTAAAGTCTTCCACAATCCAAGAGCTATACACCTAAAGTTTTCCCTAGAACAAACAAGGCAACAGATGAGACAATACATGATCCAGTTTAGGCTTAAAACCATTAGCACTTTTATTGACTATATATACGGGGTGGAAAAGGCAGGGGGTCCTTGGAAAACACTGGGTAGACAATTATGAGTCATTCACAAATCTCTAGGATTCACACTATGGTGAGAGCCAGACATAAACAGAAATATAACTTTAGAAGAAGGTATTTTCCATAAACCAGACCATAAACATGCTTAGTGTTCGATGGAGAGATGGAGAAAGGTCTTAAGCTGAACTTTGATTAATTATATAAACCTTTTTTGCTTATTAGTTTGATTTTCAACTCAACTTAAAATTAGAATGGACACTGTTAGAGCTTGTTCAATTCAGCATCTACTGAGCACAGTGTACTGAGCAGAAACTATTTTACGTGAAATAGGAGTAGAAGGCACAACTTTTCTTTGCTCTTAGGCCAGTCCCATTCTCCAATCAGTACAATTAAGGCCTGCATTCCAAACAACTAAGGGCAGAATTTTGCTGCTAATTAAACAAAAAGGAGTGTTCCATGATGGAATTTAAATATGTACTTCAGAGCTGCTATATATCTGGAAATGTTATGAAAACTATAAATCCATTATTGTTTGAGTGTTCAGATAGTACTTACCATACAGAAAGATGGCACCAGACCACTCTATGATAATACAACCACAGTGTGTGTTTTTTTCAAAACATAGACCTAAGCATGTTACCCTTCATTAAATCCTTAAATGGCACCCCATTTTTCTTAGGATAAACAAACTCCTTCACAGGGCTACAAGATCCTGTATGGCCTGACCCTTACCTATCTTTCCAGTTCGTTTCACTCAACCCCAACATCAGTGGCCTTTTTGTTTCCATTTTCCCTTCTGTAGTCAATTCCTACTTACCAGTCAGGTCTCAGCTCAGTTGTCACTTCACAGGTAATTACTTAACCAGAGCAAAACCCTTATTACAGCACCCTGAACTTCTTTGGAGCATATAAAACAGTTTTAGTTTCATATTTATGTGATTAATGTCTAGCTCTTCCATAGACTGTAGTTTATAAAGGCAGAGATTTTAGGTTAAAATTTTCCACATAATGAAAACCATGTAAAACATTATTTAGAATTTATATATTATTTAAAATAGCTATAGCTTAAGGGATAAATCAAGGAATAGCATTTATCCTCCTAGGCATTACTACTTTAAACCTATAAAACATCTATGCTTAAACAACAATCTAACCACTCTAAACCTGTTTGTAAAATATGGATAATCTTAAAGATGAGCTGTACATACTAAATGAAAAAACTATAAAGGTCTTAAAACAATGCAAGGCACATGGTAAATGCTAAATAACTGGTGCCTGTGAATAATACTTTTGTTTTAATTCATATTTATAAAGTATATTTCTCCAAGCATTTGATTTATATAGTAACAGAATAATTGTGATGTTCTTCTAAGCTGGTTAAAATGATTCTGGGAAAGAAAAAAGTGATGCAAGAATTGTTACATCTTTTGTTACAATTTTTAAGGTGATTATATCATTCTTACCAGTTTCTCCATATTATTTACTACCAAAGGCTTGGTGCACGGATGCATGCACTGGTGGGGTCCCTTGGCCTGGCCTGCGGGGATCGGGGCAAAACCGGCTCTCCAACATCCCCCGCGGGGTCCTGGATCGCGAGAGGGTGCAGGCCAGGCTGAGGGACCCCACTGGTGCACGATCCGGGCCCCGGTCCAGTTTAAGAACCCATTGCGGCCCTCGAGTCAAAAAGTTTGCCCTCCCCTGGGCTAGACTTATTTCTGCCTATGAATAAGACTACAAGACTGCTGGAGAAATATAGAACAGTAGAGGCCCATCAGCCTGGCCTTCAGGGATCAGGCCAAAACCAGAGGGACCATGGGAGGGCTCCAAGGTGTGTCCGGCCTGTCTGGCCCAGTCCCAATCGGCCAGACCCCAGCAGCAAGCTAACCTACCTGTTGAAGCGTCTGCCCCCTGGTGGTCAGTGTGCATCATAGTGACTGATAGAAAGGTCGGACACTTAGCATATTAGGCTTTTATTATATAGGATATAGGATAACCCAGATTTCTTTGTACCTTTTAAGATACATACAAGCCATTAAAATATGTATTTAAAATACAGATACATAAAATTTATCTTAAAATGCATATTTTATTTCAGTAGCCAATGACCATCAATCAAACAAAGAAAAGAAAACTGATTTCATGAAGAAAGACAAATCTATGGAGTGGTTTACAGGAAGTGAAGAATGAGATGGCTCAACTAAAACAACTTGGAATCATTAACTACAATATGTCTAACTACAAGACAAATGTCAAAGTGGACATTTAAGCAGTTTTAAAATGCTACACATCTTTCTTTAGCTTTTGTTATTTTTCAGAATTATAAGGAAAAGTTATACAAATCACAGTAATAGCTAAAAATACCAATCTACAAAAGTAATGATTTGCAACATAAAGTTCTGTTTTGATACTTTTCTGTCTTCAAATCAGTTGCCCTCATCTGAGGTACTCAGTTAAGTTGTGGTTTGAACTTCCTCAACTTGACAAGAAAAGCTAATTTAAGTGGGGGAAAAAGTAAAGGTCATTATAATAATTTGAAGAAAATACCATTTAATATGGCCTGAAAACATTACTCACCTGTATGACCAGTTTGCCAGTGTATAGGTCTAGCAACATAGGGAAATGATCCATATGGAAAATCAGAATGTGATTCTTCTGTTGTAGAACAAAGTACATATTGTAAATTACATAAAGTATTTCATAATTTGTTCAAATATTTCAGAACTGTTAAAATACAAATTAATGTCCCTTTACTGTAAGTTTTTCTTTCACATATTTATTTAGCATTTTGTTTTGGAGCTATTATGCCAGTTACCTCACAGAAATAATGTATCAAGGATTACATAATAAACTTATATATATGGTTTTATAACTAAACAGATAAATTCATAATCAAGGGATATATGAACATTTGTCATAGCCTAAATAATTTGTAAGTCCTAAATTTGGAGAATTCCAGCCTCATAAATAGCAAATATCAGTTTACTTGCATATCAGATCCTATGAAATTCTTTTCCTTCAGTAATAATCACTGATCTAAATTTTTAAAATTCTTCAGTATATATATATATATATAAAATATTTCAAGTTAATCTCCTTGTCACAGGTAAAATAGGAATATTATAAAAAGCAAGCAAAGTCATTATTCTGTCCCTTACAGATTTTAATTTAATAGCATAAATACCACATTTAAATACAAAAAAAAATCCTTCAGACACTTTTTTATAATTTATTGGTCAATACACTCAGGAACCTATTCTCCACTTATTACATACACATGCATAAAATAAAACCGAAGCTCACCATGGCCATCCTCCTGAAGCATCTCACCAGGGCCATCCTGAAGCAGCTCACCTTCAGCTCTAACCTTTTGAGATTGTAATTGTAAATCCACATTGATTTCAGGTTCTACTCTTTGAGCTAAAATTCCATTTTTCTGTTTTGCAAGGCAAACCAACCAATCTCTGACAATGACTTCACTTATCTTTTCACATGAGAGAGCAAGTTCACAGATGCGAATTCCATCTAAAAGTTCAATAACCTGTGTGATGCTTTCAGAAAAGTAAAAAATGTACTTTAAGTTTCTAGTACAACTACTTTAAATTTACTATACCTAAAAGTAAAAATGCAAGCTAGGGCACATAATAAGCAATTTTAAATAAAACTAAGTAAAAAATATAGAGAACATAATTTAACGTTATTTGTTCACATTACCCTTTTATTCTAAATTGCCCGAAGAAAATGCGTCTTATATTGCCATTTATATAAAGGATGATTTAAGCAGCAATATAAATGATTTGGGACATATGTAGTTTACTAAGTTTTACAAGGTGACATACACTGAGTGGCAGATTATTATGACCACCCCATCAGTACTTCGTTGGGCCACCTTTTGTCTTCAATACTGCAGTGATTCTTCTTGGCATTGACGCCACGAGATGTTGAAAGGTGATACGAGGAATCTGACACCATGCCTGATGAATAGCACTGTCCAGTTCTGTGATGGTTGTGGAACCAGCTGCCAGATGGCTCT